AGACAAAAGGTCATATTTTGGCTCTCATGGATTTGATTTAATTTTCTTCAGCTTCAATCTGAACTTACATATGAGCAACTTCAGTCAGCCCCTGGCTGCTACTATTGAGCTACTCCATCGACTCTTCCTACAGATGTATTCAGTATGACTTCTGTGTATTCCGTCTGGAAAAGTCCGCACAGTCTTTTTATGTTATTGACCTTGCGATTAAGAAGTTGTCAGCCTTGCAAAATTCTATCAAACAATCTCCAGCTTGGATTCTATCACCAAGCCATATTTTCCAACTACTTTTCCTTCCTCTTTGGTTCCAACTTTTGTATTCTAATAATTATTCGTGTATCCAATCAGTTGCAATAATTATCAATGCATCTTGATTTCATGTTTGATTAATTTCAGACTGAAGAAGTTGGTAGAATTCTTCAACCTCTTCATTACTAGCATTGGTGATTAGTGTGTACATTTGAATAATAGTTGTATTGATTGGATTTCCTTGAATGCAGATAGATATGGTCCTATAACACACTGTATTGGACTTCAGTATAGATCTTGATTAATCATCCTTTGTGATGATTAATGCAACACGGTTCCTCCTGATTGTTTTAGTCTCAGCACAGTAAGTCAGATATTTTTCTGATTCACAATGGCCAAAACTAGTCCATTTCAGCTCACTATGCCTAGAATGTCGATTTTTATGCATTCTACTTCATATTTTTTACAAATTCCAATTTCCCTAGATTTATACTAATTGATATTTTCATCTGTTCTTCTCATTTTGAATCATGTCCTATTGGCAAAAGAAGATTCTGAAGGCTTTCTTCCCACAGCTTTACTCCATGAACATTATGAGAATTGACTCTCCGTTGAGATGGCAGCTCTTCCTCAGTCATATTTTAAATGCTTTTACACCTGACGGGCTCATCTTCTGGGAAAACTTCTGATACTGTTCTTCTTTTCATGAGGTTTTCAGTATCTGACAATGTTTCTATTCTAGCTATCGGGTTTTTCGCAGCTAATTCCTCAAAATTGGACAGACCATTTCTTTTTTTGTCTTCTGTTCCTAGTCTGGAAGCTCTGCCCAGACCTGTGCTCTGGGTGATCCTTCTGGCATTTGAAATACCAGTGACATTTATCTTTAATTCATATTAGGGAGCAGTATGGTGGATGGAATAATAATAATGGTAAGTATGCTATAAGGGATGATAAGGAGTAAGTGGATCCAACAATCACAGATTCAATTACTTTTGTCCCTGGGCTTGCACACTAGGCCTGTTACATGTGGATTTAATTGTCAATAGCATCTTGAGTAACAATGTATCCTTCCTTTTTCTGGTTAAAAAAATGTACCATGACACAGCTTCCAGCAACACATAAGCCACCACAGAACAACAAACTGACCGACCTGTAGTGGTCATAGGGCTTAGTCCCTGTGTTGTGGTGGAGAAAATAGGAAAATCTGATTCCAACATTTACCATGAATTTGGCAACTAGATTGAGATGACTCTGTTGGTTTACTTTAGAAGGCCAGAATGTAGCCAGATGTCCTTCTCCAAGGGGTGATCCTTCATGAGGACATGTCCAAATTATGTTGAAGAAAGATGTACTATCCTTTTTTTCTCACTCTTCTGATGAAGCTTTTTGATGCACATAATTGTCTTATTTTTAGTAGGACTCAGTATTTTTTCCCAATCATTTTATTAGGGGCTCATGCAACTCATCACAATCCATACATACATCAGTTGTGTAAAGCACATGTGTACATTTGTTGCCATCGTCATTCTCAAAACATTTTCTCTCCACTTAAGCTCCTCATTTTCCCCCTCCCTCCATTCTGCCCCCTCCCTCATGAACCCTAGATAATTTATAAATTATTATTTTGTCATATCTTGCACTGTCCGATGTCTCCCTTCACCCACTTTGCTGTTGTCCATCCCCCAGGGAGGAGGTTATATGTAGATCCTTGTAATTCATTCCCGCTTTCGACTCCACCCTCCTGGTATCACCACTCTCACCACTGGTCCTGAAGGGATCATCCACCCTGGATTCCCTGTTTTTCCAGTTCCTACCTGTACCAGTG